ACTGTGGTAATTTTAACAGCGCTGTTGAGTAGGCTAGGCTACCCTTTTCGTAGAGCCTTCACTAACTGAAGCCGGGTCGGCCCAGCGCAACCTTCATTTAGACAACACTGAATTATAGGATCCACCACATTTTTAATCCAGTAGAACCACACACTTTCTTCTGCCTGAGATAGAAAACAAAAAAAAAAAAAAGAAACACTTTGCAATCCTTGTGCCTTTATCCAACAATTACGCCAGACCTATGCCGGGTCGGCCCAGCGCAACCTTCATTTAGACAACACTGAATAATAGGATCCACCACATTTTTAATCCAGTAGAACCACACACTTTCTTCTGCCTGAGATAGAAGACAAAAAAAAAAAAAAAGAAACACTTTGCAATCCTTGTGCCTTTATCCAACAATTACGCCAGACCTACACAACACAACACAGACACACACAGAGAAATAGCTGACTGATGCAGTGTTAAAGTAAGTCGAGAACGTTACCCCCTTTTCATTCCTGGTGTCTGTGTGTTGAGTGTGCAAGAAGTGGAGTGGGAGGGTAGGGGTAGGGGGGGGGCCATGAGGAAAACTAAACGTAAGGGGTGACAATCCAGCTGGTCAGGGGGAAAATTTGTTTAAAAGAAAAGAGAGAGCGCTCCTTCGAAAACTTTTCGAAAATAGTTTTTTTAAGAAAAAGGGTGGAGGATGTTTCTCTTAAAATATAGAACTTAAAAAAATAATAATCAATAAAAAAATAGAATTTAGTTACATGCTATTTATAAAAAAAAAATAGTTCTGAACGACACATTTAGTCTACATTTATTCTAAATTAAAACTTTCTTGCCTTCAATTATTATACACTACGGTACTACAGTAGCACCGTTTCTAAATCAACTAAATCTGTGGCTTGGTTACTAAACAGTTTAGCCATGAGACCATGCAGACTTTCTATTATTAGCAATCAGACTTTTGAAAATTTAGGGCTGAACATTTGAAAGAATGTGTTTTCATCGGCAACGAGTCGATGTGCCAAGTTTCAGCTGTATAGGTGGACGGGAAGTTGGTCATTTAGCCGTCAAAAATTGTTCACCAGCCAGCTAGCCACCAACAAAAGCGAAGTTAATAAAAAGGATTTAAAAAAATATATATACAAATATATAAATAAAAAAAATAAAATAGCTGTATTTGCGAAGGCGAAAGCAGAGTCCATCCGCCGCTGAGTAGAAAGACCGAAGGAGGGGGCTGTGGAGAAGCTAGTGTGTTTGCGACAACCGGCGTAATTCACTAAACAACGCAAACGTAATAATTACCACCCATTAAACAAAAATAAGCCATATTATTATTATAAGTATGTGAAATGGAACAAAAATGCCGGCCACGGCAAGGGCACATCCCCGCCCCCCCCCCCTCTCAACGCTCTGCTCTTTTCATAGAGCTTGCAAGTTGATATTGGGGGTAGGGGTGTATTTCAGACTCATTACAGTAGTTATACAGATATAACTCAACAATTTAAGCGCTGTAAAAACTTAATAGGTCATGGGTGTGCTATAGGCTATTCATTTCAAATATGCTGGAACGCAACAACACAAAAAATGTAGGCTATATAAAAAAAAGTAATAATTATGATAAATAAATAATAATAATAAAATAATAACTTAATTTTCAATGTAAAAAAAAAAAAAAAAAAAAAAAAAAAAAAAAAAAAAAAAAAAAAAAAAAAAAAAAAAAAAAAAAAAAAAAAATAAAATTTAAAAAAAAAAAAAAAAAAAAAAAAAAAAAAAAAAAACATGAATTGAAAGCAAACAAAATACATAGGCTTTAATTACCTAACATTAAATCGGATTGACTAGTGGCGTAGTGAGACATTGTGACGCCCTGGGCATGGAAACCCGAAAAGAACGAACCTTGAAATATCGCTGTCCCTGGCATATGCGCTTACTTGTCCCCACGCGAAATCATCTTTGAAAACAAACCGAACATGTAAATAGCACCATTGTTTGTGTGTGTGTGTGTGTGTGACCAACGGTTTGTTTATTTCCAGGTTTCACTGTATATTAGAAAAGTGCCGTTACGTCAATTTGAACAGCGGGAGTGTGTATGTATGGGTGGGGGGGGCGGAAAACAAGGGCACCAAAGTTTGCCGATTTTTTTTTTTAATTATTAATTCGGTATAGGCAACAAGGATTCATTTTGGCGCATACTGGAATTTAGTTTTGTATCATTCCACACTTAATCGAAGCGCAGCAGAAGAAATGTTTTTAACTTCATTAAGAGTTCCTTGACCTGGTTGAGCTGATACAAATCCTTTATTTTTATTTGTTCTAAAGAGACAGTTTACTTTACAGCATTTCTTTTAACTATTTTAAAACTATTAAACTATATAATTTGTTTAAACTTCTTTATTAGTAAATGAATTGTTTTAAAGGAACAGTCCTCCACACACCAAAAAAAAAAAAAAAAAA